TTCCTGCCATTACATCATATCCTGGCTCCACTCCTTTGTGGGTGTAGCACTGACACCATCAATTCAAGCACTAGACAGTGAACCATCACAAATGCAAAATGCAAATGCATGAGTCCAGGGGGCCACTGAAATAAACCAAGACATTCCACCCCTGGCCCCCAGGACTCATGTACATCCTTTATACAAAAGACATTTAGTCTACCTCCAAGAGTTGCCAAAGTCCTAACAGTTTCAGCATTGCTGAATAGTCCAAGTCCCAAGTCTCCTCCAAGATCTATGGTAAACTCTTAACTGTAACGCCCTGTACAAATGAAACAAGGTTAAACATTTCTGAAATGCAAAGGCATAAGATAAACATTACCATTCCAAAAGTTACAAACAGGGAAATAGAAAGCATTGGAAACAAAGCAAGTCCAACATCCAGCAGGACAAACATTAAGTCCTAGAGTTCCATGCCCAGCATCTGAAGCAATCTGGTTGCAAGCTCCAGAAGGCTTGGGTGATTCCACCCCCATGGCACTTAGAGGGATATCAGCTCCCGCAGCTTCTCTCTTAAATCTTCTCTGCTCTCTTTTTGCAGCTTCCCTTGGATCCTCCACATTCCTGGCTTTTCCAAACTTCTGGGGTCTCCACTGCACCTTCGGCTGCACCCTTACATCTTCACAAATTGCCCTCTCAGGGGCACACTGCTTGGCCTCCCAGGCCCTTTGCAATCGAGGTGGAAGCCGTCTTACCCTCAGAATTCGTGCATTTTCCTTGCACCTAAGATCAGCACCATATGGATATCGCCAAGGTTTGCTGCTAGCTGGAGCAGTAGCCAGGCTTTTTTCTCTCTTGGCTGTAGGGGTAGGGGATCGCAGGGCCCTGTTTACCTGATTGTGAGGAAAAGCTTCTGTACGTTGCCGCCATTCTGGAACCTCATGTGGCCTCTGTTGCCATTCTGGAACCTGGTGCTCCGCAGCTTTCTCCTTTGAGCGAATTTTTTTACCTTTGCAGTAAGACTGCACAGGGTGGAGACCGGCTTCTTGGGATGCCCCGGGCCATCTTTCTTATCTCTCTGTTTCTCCTCAGGAATCAAAATCTCAACTCTGTCTTTATAATCCACAGCCTTCTTGGAATTTTTCTTCTGGCCAAACTCACAGCATTATACATTATCCTGCTGGGCTCTTTGATCTTGATTTGAAACATAAAGCTGGCTGAAAGTCCCCGACAATAGCCATGTCACAGCCTCAGTGTTCCATTGCTTTTTAATTTCTTTTTCAAGATTAATCAGTCCATTGCCCTTTGTCTCAGTCTCAGGCAAAGTCTCTGGGCAGGAGCAAAATGCAGACAAACTTTCTGCCAAGCCATAACACACATCATGTGGAGTCCAACAAACAATGCAGTCCTTCTTCCCAGCAGAAACCTCCCAAGCCTGGTCTTTACCATGAGGCTTTCTATCAGCCTTCTGGTCTCTGGAGCTCTCACCAGAATCTCCTCTACAGAACAGCCTAAACTGCTCCAGCTCTATGCATCCAGGTGACATGTCCGAACCTTTCCAAACTCTGCCCACAAGCCATTTCCAAAGCCTTTCGAGAAACATGGTCAGGTATAGTCACAGCAAATGGCCCCACTCCTCGGTATCAAATCCTGTCTTAGTTACTTCATGCTCGTCACTGAGACAAAATACCTGAAGCCCAAGTTGGGAAAGGAAAGGTTTATTTCTTACAGTTTTTGGAGGTTTCAGTCCACACTCAGTTGGCTCCCAGGCAGGCGGGCATGGCTGGGCCACTGTTCATGGCGGCTGCAAACAGCAAGTTTAAACCAGCAAAGAACAAGACACACCTTCTTCCTGCCATTACATCACATCCGGGCTCCACCCCTTTGTGAGTGTAGCACTGACACCATCAATTCAAGCACTAGACAGTGAACCATCACGAATGCACAATGCAAATGCATGAGTCCTGGGGGCCACTGACATAAACCAAGACAAGCATATTGTATACTTAAGAAAAAGGAAATATTAGAAAATGGTAGAGTTAAGGGGCTATTTTCCCTTTTCTCCTTATTCTTTTGGGGTGCTACTCTAGTGAAAGGTTAAGTCAGTTGAATGTGTGAAGGCTGAGGGAAAATAAATTTAAATATTTTAAAAAGTCACAAGTTTTATTCATTATTTTTGTTGTCTTAGAAGCTGAGAAGAAATAGGAAAAATAAAATTGCTACTTTAATGAGTTTTGTGTTGCTGTTGATTGATGGATGTGCTCTTCTACCCTTGACAAAAGAAAACTTGTGGTGACTCATATTAACATTGCATTGCCTTTTTAGTGGATCCTGGTGGGACACTTGTCTACATTAATGACTTACAGGATGATATACACTTAACATTTTGCTGATTACATATCAAGGGGGCAATTATTGGGGTTATGCTTGTGTCTTTGATCTCTGGAATCATTCTGCTTGTGTTTTAATCCCAAACTGATCACTTACTGGCTCTGCAATCTTGGAGAAGTTACTAAACTTTTCTGTGTTTTACATTCTTTATCTGAAAAATGAAGATACCTATACCTTATGGAATTGTTGCAAGTTCCAGAACTGTATAAAACTTATGTTAATCAGCTGATAAATGTGAACTACCATTAGTGCTAATCCTTGGAGAGAAAGCACAATATATATGATACCAGCCACTATGGACCTCAAATTCCTGAGTGAGTAGTTAAATTTACAACTTTATAGTTATAATTACTCTAAAAAAGCAGTAAAAAATTGAGATAGAGTATCACAGTGGAGTGGAAGGAGAATTTTCCTTTAAATAGCATGATTAAGAAATGTCTCTCAAGGTGAGACTTAAACTTTGAGAAAAATCTAGCAACTTAAAAAAATGGAGAGAGTCAGGTGCAATGGCACATGCATGTAATCATAGTAGTTCAGGAGGCTGACACAGGAAGATTGCAATTTTTGAGCCCACGCTGGGCAACTTAAGAGAGGTCCTATCTCAAAAAAAAAATAACTGACTAGGGATGTAGCTAATTGTGAAGACGCTGAATTCAATAGCCAGTACCATAAAAAAAGGAGAGAATGTTCTAGGTATCAGGAATATCATATTCAAAGTGCCTATGGAGATATAAGTTAGTATATTGTTTAGATCTTTAAGCAGGATCATTATGACTGAAGTGGAGTCAATGAGAAAGAGAATGGCTGATGTGGTAGAAGAGACCTAATGGATTAGAGTGAAGACTATAGATTTTAGGGGCCAGGAGTTTAGCTCAGTGGCACAAGTGCCTGCCTGGCAAGCACGAGGTTATGAGTTTGATATCTGGTACTAAAAATAAAAAGAGTATGGATTTTACTTTAAGTGCTGTGGGAAACCACTGAAGCCAAAGAGGGATACAATCCTATTTTTCTTTTTCACAAAGGTTGTTGTGCTGTATTTGTGTTAGAGATGGATAAGACTGGAAAGGGAGTAAACAGTTTGGAGGTTCTTAATAGTGAGCCTACTGAGAGACTAGGTGGCAGCAGGGATGGAATTGGTGATTATAAGATATATTTTGAGGTAAAATCAACAAGACTTAATGAAGGATTAGATATAGAAGGGTAAGGTGATGGAAAGGACCTTGAATCAAAGATGATACCCAGTTTTCTGTGTTGACTAATATTCAATATCATATCAGTTTCTGAAATGGGGGACATGGAGAGAAGATCAGATTTGGGGAAAGGGTTGATTATTAAGATTTCTGTTGTGAACATGTGAGTTTGAGGTGTCTCTTAGATGTACAAATGGAAAAGTGGAGTTGTCATTTGGATTTATGAAGCTGGAGTTTAGGGATAGCTTTTAGATACTATACTTGGCCTTAGATGAAAGGCTGAAAAGTGATAGGGACAGTTTTTAGATGATACTTAAAAAGTATTGGATCTAGATGAGATAACCTGGGGAGATTTTAAAAAAAGAAGAGAACCAAGGATCATATAAATATATTTTTATTAGTCCATATTAATTATACAGTCTAATGTGTTCCATTTTGGCTCATTTATACTTGCATACACCATACTTTGATCATTTACTCCCTTTTCTTTCTCCCTCCCTCATCCCCTTTGTCTTCTCAAATAGTCTTCCTCACATGAATATCTTTAATGTAGAGGCTGTAAGAGACTAAAAGAATGGACTAAAAGTAAAGGTAAGAATGTAGTCAGTGGTAGAGTGCCTTCTGTGTATGTAGGAACTTCTAGAGTACACCCTGGGATCTCCATTTACTCTTTGTCACTTCGGAGAGCAGGATGGGGTTATACATTCTACAAACCTTTTGTGAGCTCCATGTATGTATACATATGGGTGTATATAGATGAGATATATAGATACAGATATGTTGTAGTTCTTGGCACAAAGCAGGTGCTCATTAAGTATTTGTTAAACTGAATTAATGCATAAATGAAATGAATGAGAATATCTGGGTTATAATAGACTCTCTGCCACAGTATAACTTTGTGATATTTGAGATTTATGAGGCTATAATTTTGTAATCTGCAAAATGGCAATAAAGGTACTTATCTTTTGGGTAGGATTTAAAACAATACAAATTTTATTGCAATCAGCACAGAGCTAGTGCTGAATTAATTTTGACTTTTATTACCTCCCTACAATTTGAGTGCTCATTCACGAAAAAAGAGCAATCACTAATGTCTTGCTTTCCTCCAAATAGCATTTGTGAAGCCCTTGGGAGTTAATATTTGACACTAAAAGGGGTTATTAATATTAATATTTTAATTGTCCGCAACCACATTATTCAGCTGCTCTTCTCTCCTCGTCCGTCAGTAGGATTATTTAAATGAAAATGTGTCTTTTAGGAAGCCCTAGTTCAGCCAATTGTACTCGAAACCACGCCCCAATACAAAGTCCATTAGCTGCGGAGTTCAGTTTAAAAAAACCCAGCTTTCAAACCCTCCTTAAGGGAACAGAGTAATTGTGTACACCGATTGGTTCCCTGCTGGCCAATCACCACTGCGCTTCCTGGGACTGTAATTTTCAAATTTTGGGCTGATTGAAGAAAGCCTAGACCAGGTTGAGACGGAGTCTGGTCCTTGCCACACGGATCTCCGTTCATTTCCCTTGTCTGTCCTGGTCTAGGGTTGCATCTTGGTGTTTCCTGTTCTGTCCTCAGTCTCGGTTTGAGGTAGGCGCCTTTGGGTTGTACCAGCTCGAGAGTCTGGCTCTGTTGACTGGAGATCTGTCCGCGGGCGTCCCTCCACCCCCTTGTTATAAGTTGTATTTTCTTACTGGGATGCACAGCAACTCTGCAAGGAAACCTTGCTCTTCCTTTCTGATTAGTCAGGAGTCTATGGAGTGAACCCTGTACGCGGTTGGCCTGGGAGTGTGACGGAATGAGATAGCAAAACAAATGAGACTAGGTCCCAGTGTTTGAGATAGAATGGCTAGTCCACGTGCCTAAATCAGAATGATTTAAAAAAAGTCTTTCACAAGTGAAAATGTTGCAGGATCGATTTCATTTACAAGTGTAGTGCGGGCAGATGTATTTTAAGTCAGAGAATATTCCTTGAAGGATATTTTGAACCATAGGTTGAAGGACATGAAGGAAGGGTGGAATCTATCCTCTCCCTTGTTATCCCTTTTATTTCTACTGGCTTTCTTTTATCCAGCTCTGGCTTTCCCACCACCTTCTGCTTCTGAAGTGCACCTAGAATCCGAGAAGTTCAGAGGTTAAAGGAACTCTAGAGTGGTGTCTCTTAAAGTGAATATAAATTTGCAGATTAGGATTTGATAGGCCTAGGCTGGCACCTGAGATTTTAGAGTGCTAGGAGGCTCCCAGGTGATGCTAATGTTTCATTTTCATTGACCGCTTTTTCTTTTTTTTAATGTGGCGGAAGCTCAAGTCCTATTGCCTTTTTATTAGGCGGGGAAGCCAAGATCCAGATTGCCCAGTTTTGCTCAGCTAGCTGGGGGACAGGGCTAGAACTAGACCCTAAGTCCCCTTTGTCAGCCTGGTATAATTTTCAGTAACAATGCTGCATTCTTTCCCTAGTGCTTTGCCATAGGTAACCTGCCTTTATATATAAAATGAAGTTGCTATTCCACCCTGTATATTATTTTGATCATCTTAGATCTGCTGCCCTGTGTGGGTTACAGTACCAGCCTTAGAATGCCCAGTAAACTCTCCAATAATTATCAGTGTGTGCACAGCGGGGATAGAAAGTCTGAAAAGGGAAAGAATTCTAATTTTCTTTGTCCAAGTAAGACTCAGGGTCGAAGTCTGAATGTCCTGGATGCTTATGATGATGTCAGTTACCTCCTCTCTTCCTCTATACCCAGTAGCAGAGAAATTACTTTACCTAAGTCACTGTGTGTGTCCCCTAAAGCAAGTGTTTAATGTTCAGAATAGTGAATATGTTGTATGACTATCATCAGAATACCTTTATTTTCTTTGAGATATAATTGGTCTGTAATGTCATCAGCTGCGAGTTTTCTAACAAGTTGATTCCAGATTTCTACTTCTCTTTGAAAGGTAAAGGTTTCAGAGCATGTCTTTGGTCATCCTTAGAAAATTGTATGAGACATAAACAATAAGGGTGTAAGTAGTTTTCAAACAGAATGTAGTTAAGGGTAGATAATACCCAATTTAGCTTTATTGCTGCTTTTCTGAGTTTTGAGGGATAAGATGGAAAATAAGTTTTCATCTGAGGGTAGGGAAAGAATAAACATGCCATTGATTACCTACTGTGTGTGCTTTGTATGCACATTTCTGTATGTGAATCACATGACTACTCTTTCTGTGTGGTGTACTTGTTTTGCAAAATGGGAAAACCAAGTCTGAGAAATACTAAGTTAACTGCTTTAGAAGCTGGCTCTACAGACTCTAAAACCTATGCCCATTCTGCTTCCCCACCCTAGAGCCTTTTAATTTTTGGAATGTTTTTGAGTGTGATCTGAGAAAGTGGTATTTTGGAATTAGCTGGGTAATCTGTGTTGCATAGTAGTTTGTCTTGGATAGTAAGACACTTAACTCCTCTGGGACCATAAGACAGCACTGTATCTGCCCTGCTTACCTTCATGGTTTTGTTATAGTATTTAACTGAAGTAATGCATGCAAAGGCATGTACTTGTATTACCTTTGTAGGGTAAACAGTAAGAAGTCACTAGTTGATAAATTACATATTGACATCTTAGAAATAGTTGTTCAAGTTACAAAATTGAAGCATAAAAAGTGGACATTTAAACAGTGAGAGGGCAAACTGTTCTGTTCAATGATTCAACAAAACTTAGTAATATGGTTATATATCTTACACACTTAAACATACATGGTTATATCCTTTAGAGCACTTTGTTTCCCTCTCTTTTTTATAATAGCAATTACACATTTTGGGTTTTATTACTCCTGCAGTTCTTATTATTTTTACACTAGAGACACAATGTGATCTTTATAAATATATTTCTTACTTATTTTATTTATGAGGATAGTCTCAAGTTGCCTCCATTTACCTAGGAAGGCCTCAAGATCATCCTTTTTATAGCTGAGTAATATTCCATTGCATAAAAATACCACATTTTTCATCCACTCTGCGACTGACCTGTCTTCCCCTACAAAATGTTTAATACTTCTTCATCTAAAAAACCCCACAAATTGACTTTTCTTCTTTCTGAAGCCTTCCCCTCAAGCCACAATCTTCTTTGCTTCCCTTTCTAGCTATCCTGGCCCCAGCCTAGCACTTCATCTCCATTCTAGAGTTCATCAACATATTTTTTTCCTCAACATATTTTTTGTGCTTCATACCCAACATAGCTGGATTGTCCCTGAATTGTGCATGTTCATACCTCCATCTGTGATTGGGCTTTTGCCTGGAAGCTTCCCAGTCTACTTGGGACCTTCTTTATCATTTAAGTCCAGAGCAAATGTAGTATGCCTATATCTATCTCTGACTTTCTATTTTATCTATCTATAGTAATGTTTTATCTTGGGTTACTATAACTAACTGCTACAGACTGAATGGCTTAAGCAGTAAATATTTCTCACAGTTATTATGTCTGGAAAATCTTAAGAACAAGGTGCTGGCAGATTTGCTTTTTGGTGAGGATCTACTTTCTGATTTTCAGATGACCCTCTTGTATTATCATATGCCAGAAAGGTGTAAGAAAGTTCTCTGGGATCTATTATAAAGCACCAATCCATTCATGAGGGCTCTGTTCTTAACATCTCCCAAATCCCCCATCTGTTAATGCTGTCATGTTGGGGGTTAGAATGTTGTAATGTCAACATTAACTCTGCAAGGGGCACAAATATCTGTGACAAGTATTTCCCTCATTACTGTTTGTATGTGTATGGGGAATAAGGATTAAATCTAGGACCTTTGCACTGAGCTAAATCCCCAGTCCCCCACCCACCTTTTAATTTTTGAGACAGGGTCTCCTTAAGTTGTCCTGGCTGGGCATGGGTTTGTGATCCTCTTGCCTTAGTTATTGCTGCCTTAGACACTCAGTGTGCTAGTATTATAGGCATGCACCACCATGCCTGTTTCATTTGTCATGTTATTATGTTGATGTTAGAATTTTGCTTAGGAATATTTCTAGAATGAGATCTGTGTTTTATGTATGTGTCTCTTGCCTAAAGCATCTCTTACATAGAGGTAAGTTTGTTGCATTGCCTTTAGAATTTTTGTTAGGGAAGCCTGTTTTTTGTCAAATGAACTTGGAAATTGAATGCATTTGGGTTTACAAGGGCCCCTTGTATCTGGGAGTAAAGTCTCTCATATTTATCCAAACAATGATTACTTCTAATATAAAATATTTGCTTGTAAAATACATATGCATATTCTGACTATTGAGGACTCACTAAAAGAATCTTCAGGAATATAAGATAGGGTCCCATATTGAGATAGGCAAAGGAGTTTTCTAAGGAATATAATTAACATTAAATTCTTATGACAAATACTTTTCAATAATTTAGTTCCTCATACTATTACCTTGTCTTTTGAATTAGATCACAACTTCTTCTGACTGAACACAGCCTTTGAATAATGTCTGGCTTACCATGCATACATGTATGTGCAGTCATTCTCTTGTCTTCTCTGTAGCATCATTAGAATTGCTGTAGTCAGAGCCCTATGCCTTTTAAAGTATATTAACTCTACCTCTGTACTAGAGGATTACTTGTATATTTGATTGTTTTCAATGCAAAACTGTTATGTTAACATGTGCTATTTACCTATCTAGATTAGGTGCTAAGCCATGTCACCAGTGCTTGTACAGATGGTAGGCACATGTAGAGTTTTTTACATAGAGTATCTCATTTAATTTGAACAATATCCTGTAGAACTGGATATACTTACTTCAGTTTAACAGATGAAATAGCTGAAGCCAAAGGAGTTTAAGATATTGTCCCAAGATTAATTGTGACCTAACAAAGATTTGACCCAGATCCACCCAACTTCAATGTATGTTTTCTCAAGGGATTCTATAGAAAAAGTGTTTTTTTCAAAAATTTCTAGTGAATTCTGTGATGTTTCTGGTGAACGGTGTTTTTAAAAGTCCTTTCTGATTGTAGCCCTGACTTGGACAAGATACTGCTGCATCTGTAAGAGATGTCACTGCCACATCAAAGCTTCAAACCTGAGACTAAGAAATTTCAGTCTACAAAAATTGTACTCAGTGATCACGGCCAATTCAAGGTTAGAGCAAGCTGTTTTTCCCCATAGTGTCTCATGGTGTTTCTGTGCCTTGGCTCATGACTTTCACCCTTGCATATTTTATTTTTAATTAATTTTATTGGTACACTTTTTATATACATAATGATTACATTCATTTTAGGACCCTTGCATATTTTTAATTATCAGTATGTCTGGATTATCTCAGAAATTGTGAAGAGGTGACATCCTTTGTAGGTGGATATTATAAGTAAGCTAGAATTTGGGAACAAAGTGTGAACTATTGTGTAAATACATGACTCAAATGGAGGCCACTCTGCACAGCTTTAAAAACCAAACAGTATTTAGTCCTCATTAATGATTGTGCCTGTACTCTTGCTTTCTTTGAGAAGTGCCAAACATTTTACCAGGAAGCTGTGCATCTTGGGGTGAGTATAAAGATTACATTGGCAAACATATTATCATAGTTTTTACAGATGCATATTGAGTGTGTCTAGTTTAAAATTCTCAAATCTGAAACTGTGTGTGTCATTATGACTCTGGAAATGGAAAGTTCCATGCCTGACCTCCTATGACAGAGTCGCAGTCAAAATATAGATGTACTAAAATTATCCCCAGGCCAATTGTATAAAGTGTATATGAAATATAAATGAATTTATCATTTAAAGTTGGGTTTTATTTCCCAAGATATCTTTTATGTATATTCAAATACCCCAAAATCTGAAAAAATCTGAAATCCAAAACATTTCTTGTTCCAACCATTTTTTTTTTTTTTTTTGGTACTGGGGATCGAACTCACAGCCTTGCACTTGCCAGGTAGGCACTTATGCCACTGAGCTAAATCCCTGGCTGTTTCCAAGAATTTTAAATAAATAGAAACTCAACTAGTACTAAATTTGAAGAATGTAGATACATTTTAACCATGTTGTTTTATCGCATGAATATTTCAACATTGTCATTTTGATTTGACATATTCCATGTTCATTATTGTACTTTATTTTTGAAACAGCCTCATTTCGTAGTCTGGCCTTAAATTCACAGTGATCCTCTGCCTCAGCCTCTTAGGTGTTGGGATTCCAGGTGTGCACCACCATGCCAGCTGCCATACATATTTTAATTTGAATTATATTAGCACTGATAAATTATCAAGAGACTGTGTCCCACATCAAATGTCATTAGGCCAATTTAATTTTGTTGATTTTTTTTTCTTAGTGCAGAGAAAGATGTTCTAATCATTTTCACTAAAATTTTTTGGAAGTGTCAGATATTTTTCACATATAATTTTTTTTTGTACTGGGGATGGAACTCATGACCTTGCTGTTGCCAGGCAGGCACTTATACTGCTGAGCTAAATCCCTAGCCCTCTCACATATAAATTATAAGGCAAGATTTGATGCTTTGATCAAGATTTTATCTATGTAACATTTTCTAATTGAGTTCTACCATTAAGTTTTCTTTTTTGGCATTTATTTTTATCAACCCAATTTTTTGGAGCATATTTTGCAAATCTCAGTTTTATACATTCAGTTTCTGTCATTAATTTTATACTGGACCGATTATTTCTGATAGTAATATTAAGTGGAATTTAACAACAGATAATTTATTTTTAACTAGATAATGAGAAAATACTATTTTTGCTAAATATTTCTGTTAAGATTATGTATTATGAACAAGATAAAATACTAATATTTACTTATTTCTTATATTAGCCAATTAGAGCACAGAAGTAATTCTTCTCACATCTTGAGGATTTTTGGAATGGTCTGTTGTGTTGTGAATCCAATTTTCTAAATTTCTGATAACTTATTATACTATATACTATTAATAATGTACCTGGAGAACAGAGCAGATGGTCAGGTCCCAGTGGCCTGCTACACATGTTAAGAATGCTCTGATATATGTAAGGCAGTTTACCAGACCTGTTATGTTACTTGGAGATTCTGGAGTTTTCCAAAGTCCTGAAGATGACCCAAAGTTCCCGAAAGGGGAGTGTTCACTATTGGTTATACTCATTTACTTCTTTTACTTTTTCAGATGGGAAAGAATTGCCAAGTGAAAATGTCTCCATCCTCACCTCAGGGGACATTCAAAAAGAGATCAGCTTTTGAAGATCTCACAAATGTGAGTATGCTAGTTCAATTCTTTGGTTTTATATAAGCCTTACATAGCCTCTTCATTGAGAAGTTTCTCCAGTTTGCCAGATCCTGACCCTCCCTAGAATGTTAAGAGCAGATTTTATTTGGAATCAATGACCCAGTTTTAGAAACTGCAGGGTTTCTTCCACCTGTGGCACATACCTTTTGTGTTAATTGGTAGAGTTCTCAGGAACAGCAGATAGAGTGATTAACAGGTATGAAGTTGTAGATAACCGAGAACAATGGTATATTATACTATGCTCAGGGAAATTCCAGCAGTGGACCAGCTGGCTGCCTAGGATTTGGAGGTAACTACTATTGTGGAATCATTTTAGTCTAGGGCATTACTTACTGATGCAAGCACTATGAACATTTTGGGCAGCCCAATTTTTCTCTTGTGTAGGAGTGACCTCAGCTAGCATCTCTGTCACCCAGGCATTAAATTACAGCATTAGCCCTGTTATAATGACAATCAAAAAGATCTCCTGGATATACTGAACCATTGAGAGCCACAGTTCAAAGATCTGGTTCTCAGCTGTGAAAATCTAGAATCTCAGTTTAACTGGGATTCTTGAATTCACATCCAAGTCATCTGCTTTCTGATTTTATGGAGGTATGATCAAAAATCATAATATAATGTTGCTAATTGAGTATAGAATTAGGCCAAAAGTAGTCTTAACAGAATAGTAACAATTGTGTGCATACTATATGCCAGGCACTAGTCTAAGCCTTTTTTTCCCTGTATCAACTTAATTCTCATCTGAGTCTATAGTAGATGCTGTGCTCATCTACTTTACAGATGAGGACTTCTCCAATGTTGGTTTTGAAGTTTTATTTCACTTAGGCTACAAAGAAGCCTGATGAAGTATGCTTGCCATCTAAAATATTTATTTGTCTTCCAGAATACTTGTATCTATTAGATAATGTTTTACCCTGTTATGCAGGATTGGATAAGCATTAGTAAAGGTATCTTATTTGAATCCTTGATCTTTAGATACTATGTGATTACCTTTCTAAAATGTAGTCTGTCCTTCATACCAATTATAACACATATGCTGGCTTTTAGCATCATTTCAGGTTTACTATTAATTTGTAAGAAGTGCTTTCATACCATCACAGACAATAAAACCAAACAACCCAGAATAAAACCATTCCAATTAATGAATGAAAACATTATAAGGCTTCAAAGCATATAATGGGGAATCATGATTACCACATACTTTTATGTATTCTTATCATTTCTTACACTAGGGAAACTATTGGGTATTCATACATGTGAGTTTGATTTATTTCACTTACGAGTATGGCCTCAAGCTGAGCCCATTTATTTATATATATCTCAATGTGATCATTCTTTATAGCTGAGTAGTACTCCATTGTATAAAAATACCACAACTTTTTTATCCATTCCTCAGTTGATGGACACTTAGGTTATTTCCAAGATCTGGCAATTACAAATTGTGCTGCTATAAACCTTTGATTCATTTAGATTTTATTTTAGTACATGGTGATAGGCATCCATCTAGTTTTAGTTTTCAGCATATGGAGAGCCAGTTTTTCCAACACCATTTATTAAAGAGACTGTTGTCCTGTTTGGCCCCTTTATCAAAGATACGGTGGTTGAATGGGTTTGTATTTGTGGTTGTATCTTCTAATGTATTCCATTGATCTTGGGCTCTGTTTTGATTCCAGTACCATGTTGATTTTACTACAGTTGCTTTGTAGTACAACTGCAAGTCAGGGAGTGCGATGCCTCCTACATTGCCTTTGCTGCTTAGAACTGTCTTTGCTATTCTAGGTCTCTTCTCGCTCCATATGAATTTTAGGAGTGATTTCTCTAGATGTATGAGGTATGTTGATGGTATTTTTAATGGGATTGCATTGAATCTGTATAACAGTTTTGGGAGAATGGCCATTTTCACAATATTTATTCTTCCTATCCATGAGCAAGCGATGTCTTTCCATTTTCTGAGATCATCTTTAATTTCTTTTTTCATTGTATTATAATTTTCTCTGTGTAGGTCTTTCACTTCTTTTGTGAGAGTAATTCCTAAATATTTCATTTTTTGATTGCTAATGTGGAGGGTGTGGCTTCTCTTATTTCTCTCTCTGTGATTTTGTTGTTAGTGTATAGGAGTGCTATTGATTTTTGAGTATTGATTTTGTTTTTTTAAATCACAATGTACACATGTATTTTTCTTAAATTAATACTCTCAGATTGTTTCAAGATTTTGGCTATTTTCAGATTCTTGAAAACATCATTTCCCATCACTTTTGCTAGTTTTCTTAATGCTTTTACAGAGGAAAATGTTGGAAGTCTTTCCTTGCTGTGTTGATTCTTTTATTTTTTTTTAGTTTTATTTCAGGAGAAAAAAGAAAAAAAAACAAAAAGGGTACAAGTTATACAGAATTTCAGAAAAAATAAACAGTAGGAAATCACTAGTTAATTACATATTGTCATCTTAGAAATAGTTGTTGAAGTTACAAAATTAAAGCATATAGAGGGGACTTTCAAACAGTGAGACTGCAAACAGTTTTGTTCAATAATCAAACAAAACTCGGTAATATGGTTATCTACCTTATACAGTTAAATATATATGCAGTTATATCTTTTAGAGAACTTTCTTTTCCTCTCTTTTGTACAATGACATTTACACATTTTGGGTTTTATTACTCCCACAGTTCTTATTACTTTTTTTTGAAGAAAGTAAAACCAAATGTGACATACCAGGACAGAGTCAGTCAAATCAAAAGGATGGGCATAATGCATAATGTAAAACAAAATACAAGGTGATCAACAATGGTTACCATAATGCCTCTTGTTATCTTAAAAAGAATTGCCTATATCATCAGTTATAATAAAATTGAACAAAACAGAAAAGAATAAGACCAATAAAACCAAAACATTGGAGACATTAGAGGACTTCAAAAGAAGATAATAATCAACCAGAATGGGCGTCACAATGGATCTTATTGTCTTCATAGTTATTGCCTAGACTTTCAAACTTGGTACTATGTAGCATAACAGAATAGAGGAAAATCAGTCAAAACAAGATGGTGAGAGCAATACAGAGTTTCAAATCAAGTTAACAGGAAATCAAAGTGGGTTACTATAATATATCCTGCTATTTTTTATTTATTTTTTCCCTTAATTAAAAGGATAAAAATGAAAAAGTAGATAATAAAAAGGAGATTGAGATAAAAAAGAGGGCATAACAACAAAACAGTGCAGGTCAAAACATAGCCATTTAAGCAAAATAGTGTTTCACCACAAGATAATCTCGACATAATAGTAGTTACCATAGTGTCTCTTCCCTTAAAATCTTTGGGTATAACTTTGTATACTGTAGCATCAAACATATCAAGACAATGTAAAACCATTCAAGAGAATGACAGTATTACAGGGTATTTAGAATCAACTAACAGAAAATGAACAATGGTTTCTGTATAATCTCCTTGTCTATAAGTTTTTGTTTATATTATCACATATAATAAAATCCAATAAGATATAACACGTTAAAACCGATGGAGACAAAAGAACAAAAACTTGATGGGACTTCAAAACAAGATGATACTAAATCAGCACTAGCTATTATGATGTCTTGTTTTCTCCAAAATGGCTGTTCCTACCATCCAACCTTCTCTGCCACATTTCTGTTGAGCTCTTTTTCTGTAACTAGTTGTCGGTTTGTCCTCTTCATTCCGCTTTCTTTTCCATTCATTGTGGCCATTCTGCCACTGTTTCTGGAATCTTGGTATTTTTCATTTTTAGAGTATCCTGCAGTAATCTCTGTAGAATTGAATTGGTGGTTGCAAATTCCCCTAGTTCCTCTTTATCCTGGAAGCACCTTGTTTTTCCATCAATTTCTAGGGACAGTTGTGCAGGATATATCAATCTTGGCTGGAGGTTATTATCTTTCAAAGCTTGAATTATTCCCCCCATGCTCTTCGTGATTTGATGGTTTGTGCCGAGAAGTCTGCTGTAATTCTGATGGGTGTTGCCTTGTAAGTGATCTGTTTCTTGTCTCTGATGGCTTTTAATATTCTGTTCTTATATTGGATTTCTGGAATTTTGATTATTATATGCCTGAGTGTAGCTCTGTTTGGGTTGTAGGTGGCTGGGGTCCTGTATGCCTCATGCATCTGAGTGTCTTTACCTTTTGCTAAATTAGGGAAATTCTCCTGGATTATTTCTGTGAATAGTTTTTGTAGTTCATTTGTTTGAGTCCCTACTTCTTCTTTTATGTTCTTAATTCTTAAGTTATAGATCCTCTTGTCATCTTCTAGTCTTTGTATTATTGCTGTTTTTTTCTTGTTATTTTTAAGAAGTTTTTCATTTCATGCTCCCACCTTACAAATCTGTCCTCGAGTTCTGATAATCTATCCTTAGTTTCTTTCAAGCTGTTATGCCAGCTTTCAATAGAGTTTTTAGTTTCCTGGTAATCTCTGTGAACCTGCTTTACGTATTCTATGTTTTCTCTATTTTCTCCATCACAAAATTCTCCCCTTTTTTTCTGTTCTTCCATTCCACCATCTGTTTTTTATTGGGCGGTGCTTAGCATTTCTCTAACTAATCTACTTATTTCTTGCTTTATTTCATTAAATACTTCATTTTTGAACTCGTCTTCGAGGCTCCGGAGATACCGTTTTATGTTTATAGGTGCCGTGTCTGATAGTGCTTGTTTTCTGTCTTCATTTTCTTTTGCATTTACCTTCCCTGTATCAGTGTTCTCAGGATTGGGAACTGAGGACCCTTTCTTGTTGCTCCCTTTTCCCATACTTTTTGTTCCTTCCATACAAGCGTATGTAGGAGGCTTTTTTTTTTTCTCTTTGTCTGTTGCAGTTTGTTTGAATCCACTGGCTAGGTGTTCCCGCCCACTGCAGTGTACTAGGGAGACACAGACCTGGGCAGCCTCTGCTGGGTGCGCCCCTCCAGGTCAACCTCCAGGTCTGAATGTTTCACTGCTAGGGTGTACCGCCAGGTGCAGGGACCTGCTTTGGGCTAGCCTACGGGATCTTAGTCCACGTTGTCACCAGGTCAAGCGCTCCCCACTACTCCCACTTGAAAGGGGAATATGTGACTAAAGTCACTGCAGGGCTGTGTTCTGGCTAGTCTGCCCATTCCCAGAATGTCTTCTGTTGGAGCCTCCTAGTCTATGAAAGGGATCCCATTTCTCTCACTCACTGCAGGTCGAGCTAGTCCCGCTCTCAACGCTGTTTGGGCCGATTCCCGCTCTCAGAGCTTTTGTGCGCCTCTCTCCCTGCTGTGTGGATTGGGACACAGTATCACCAGCAGGAAATTCAAATCGGGGCTTCCAATGGTGCGGGATCCAGCTTCCGCACTGAGATTTTATCTGTTCCTGTTATAGCATCAGGATTGCATTTCCAGTTGGTTTCTCTCAGCTGACTTTGTTCCTGGGTCGGCACGGTACGTCTCCCCTCGCGTAGGACTCCTCACATGGCACTGCTCCTGGATTCTAAGCTGGTAATCTCAGAGAGCCTCCGTGGCTGCTGTTATTTGTCTGCCATGTTCTCCTGGAAGTGCTCGAGTATTGATTTTTGTATCTAGCTACATTGCTAAATTTATTTATTATATCTAAGAGTCTTTCAGTGGAGTTTTGGGGGTCTTTTATGTAGAATATTATGTCATCCAAATAATGATAATTTAACTTCTTCTGTTCCTATCTTTACCCCTTTTATTTCTCTTTTGTCTTACGAATAGTTGTTCAAGTTACAGAATTAAAGCATACAAAGTGGACATTCACACAGTGAGACTGCAAACAGTTGTGTTCAATGGTCCAATAAGAACTTAGTAATATGGTTATGTATCTTACACGCTTAAACATATATACAATTGTATCCTTTAGAGCACTTACATTTCCTCTCTTTTGTACGATAACAATTACACATTTTGTGTTTTATTACTCCCACAGTTCTTTGTTTTTTTTTTGTCTTTTTCCTTTTTATTGGTACTGGGGATTGAACTCACAACTGCCTGCATGCACAGAAGGTGCTTATGCCACTGAGCTAAATCCCCATCCCCAACTCCCACAGTTCTTAATACTTTTTTTTGAAAGAGAATAAAACCAAACGTGATGAAACAAAACACAGTCAGTCAAAACAAAGGATGGACATAGTACATGATGTAAAAACAGAATACAAGGTGATCAACAATGTTTACCATAATACCTCTCGCTACCTTAAAAAGAATTATCTATTTCATTGGTATAATAAAATTGAACAAAGCAGTACAGAACAAACCAATAAAACCTAAACATTGGAGACATTACAGGACTTCAAAAGAAGATAATAGTCAAACCAAAATGGGCATCATAGTGAATCTTATTGCCTTCAAAGTAGCTGCTTATACCTCAAACTTGATAAAATCAAACAAAAAAGAATAGAATAAAATTAGTCAAAACACAGTGGTGAGAGCAATACAGGGGTTCAAATCAAGTTAATAGGAAAACAAAATGGTTACTATAATGTATTCTGCTATTTTTTCAATTTATTTTTTCCCTTAATTAAAAAATAAATAAATTTTAAAAAAGGAGATTGAGAGGACATAACAACATAACAACACAGGTCAGAACAGAACAATATAAGCAACATAGTATTTCACCACAAGATAACCCGACATAATAGTAGTTACCATAGTGTCTCTTTCCTTGAAATATTTGAGCATAACTTTGTATACTATAGCATCAAACATATTAAGATAGTATAAAACCGTTCAAGAGAATGAAAGTATTACAAGGTACATCTAACAGAAAACGAATTATCTATATTATCTATATTATGTTATCTATATATATTATCTATTATATTAACTATATTATAATTATATTATCTTCTTGCCTATAAAGTTTTGTTTATACTATCACATATAATAAAATCCAATAAGATACAACATGATAAAACCAATGGAGACAGAAGAACAACAGCTTGAAGGGACTTCAAAACGATATTAAATCAGCACTAGCTATTATGATGTCTGCATGCCTGGGATGAATCCCACTTGGTCATGGTGTATGATCTTCTTGATGATTTGCTGCATCCTATTTGCCAGTATTTTATTGAGGATTTTTGCATCTGTGTTCATTAGGGAAATTGGCCTGTAGGTTCTCTTTTTTACTTGGGTCTTTCTCAGGTTTTGGTAGTAGAGTAATACTTGCTTCCAGGAATGACTTAGGAAGGATTGCTTCCCTTTTAATTTCATTGAAGAGTTTGAAAAGTGTCAGCATTAAGTCTACTTTGTATTTCTTGTAGAATTCTGCAGCGAATCCGTCTGGGCTTGAGTTCTTCTTTCTAGGGAAGGGCTTAATTACATTTTCAATTTCTTTAATAGAAATTGGGTTATTCAGCAGTTTTACATCTTCTTGACCTAGCTTTGATACTTCATGTGTTTCTAGGAATCAGAGGTTTTCGAAATAGGTATTGATGATCTTCTGTATTTCTACGGCGTCTGTAGTGATTTTGCCTTTTTCATTCCTTATTGCATGAAATTGAGCTTTTTCTTCCCTTTTTGCAATAAGGTTTGCTAGGGGTTTATAAATTTTATTTATTCTTTCAAAGAACCAACTCTTTGAGTCATTGATTTCTTGTATTCTTTTGATTTCTTGTATTGTTTTCCTAATCTGTGTTGCATTGATTTATGCTCTGATTTTTATAATTTCCTCTCTTCTTTTGGCTTTGGGAAGACTTGCTCTTCTTTTTATAGATGTTTGAGGTGTAACATCAGGTTTTTTATTTGTATTCTTTCTTTTTTCCTGATGTGGGGACTCAGTGCAATAAATTTCCTCTGAGGACTGCTTTCATTGCATCCCACAGATTCCGGTAAGTTGTATTTGTATTTTCGTTTGCTTATAGGTAGTGTTTATTTCCTTCTTTTATTTCCCCTATGACCCACTGATTACTCAAGAGTGTGTTACTCAGTTTCCATTTTTTGTGGGATTTTTGCCATATCTTTTACCATTAATTTCTAATTCCATGGCGCTACAATCTGATAACATGCAAGGGATAATTTCAACTCTTTTTCATTTATTTAAATATATTCTATGAGCTAATATATGATCTGTTTTAGAGAATGATTCGTGTACTGCTGAGAAGACTGTGTATTCTGATGTTGTTGGATGGAACACTCCGTATATGTCTATCAAGTCCATTTGTTTAAAGGTGTGATTCTGTTTGGTTATTTCTTTGCTGATTTTATGTCTAGTTGATCTGTCCCTTGGTGTCAATGGTGTGTTAAGGTTTCCTGTTATAATTGTGTTGCTGCTAATTTGGTTTTTCATTTCTGTTAATGCTTGTTTTGTATAACTGTGTGCTTTGGAATTTGGTGCATATATATTTAAGGTAGTTATCTTTTCGTCTTGAAGTTTTCCCCTATCCAGTATGTATGACCTTCTTTATCTCTTCTGATCATTATTGGTTTGAAGTTCACATTGTCTGCAAACAGAATAGCTACCCTTGCTTTTTTATGGATTCCTTTTGCATGGAGTATTGTTTTCCATCCTTTGACTTTCAGTCTGTGAGTATCCTTTTGGGTTAGATGGGTTTCTTGTAGACAGCATATGGTTGGATTTTGCTTCTTGATCCATTCTGTCATTCTGTTTCTTTTAATTGGTGCATTGAGACTATTTACATTAATAGTTACAACTCTTATATGTTGGTTTATTGTTGACATGTTATCTTTCTGCTGTTGCATCTTTATCTTTCTGTTCTGTTTAATTGTCTGCTTTGCTTAGTGATTTTTTCCTAAGTGTATCTAAACTGTCTTTCAGTATTCCTTGCAGGGTTGGCTTGGTGATCATGAACTTCTTCAGCTGTTCTTTGTCATGGAAATATCTTATTTCTACATCCATTTTTCAAAAATTTTATTTAAGGAGAAAAAGAAAAAAAAACAGAAAAGGGTACAAGTTACACAGAATCTCAGAAAAAACAAACAGTAGGAAATCACTAGCTAACAGATTACGTATTGTCATCTTAGAAATAGCTGTTCAAGTTACAAAATCAAAGCATACAAAGTGGACATGCAAACAGTGAGACTGCAAACAGTTCTGTTCAGTGATTCAACAAAACTCATTAATATCGTTATCTATCTTATATCCTTACATATACATGCAGTTATATCCTTTAGAACACTGTTCCTGTCTTTTGTATGACAATTACACATTTTGGGTTTTATTACTCCCACAGTTCTTATTACTTTTTTTTGAAGAGAATAAAGCCAACTGTGACGTTACAAAACAGAGTCAGTGAAATCAGAAGGATGGACATAATACATACTGTAAAAACAAAATACAAAGTGATCTACATTGGTTACCACAATGCTTCTTGCTATCTTAAGAATAATTGCCTATATCATCAGTTATAATAAAATTGAACAAAACAGCAAAGAAGAACACCAATAAAACCAAAATATTTGAGACATTACAGGACTTCAAATGAAGATAATAGTCAAACCAGAATGGGCATCATAATGAATCTCACTGTCTTCACAGATGTTGCTTGTCGATGTCCGCTCCCGGCCGGCAGGAAAGACACACGACAAGGTCTGGCGGTGGTCAGGCTTTTCTTTATTCTCTCCTTATACAGTCTGCCCCGAAGCCTCTACCGGTCCGCTCTCCGCGGCTCCTTCCGTGCTTCAGTCTGCCCCGAAGCCTCTACCGGTCCGCTCCCCGCGGCTCCTTTTGTGCTTCAGTCTCTCTCTCTCTCGGGGGTGGAGGCACTGGCTATATATAGGATTAATAGCTAGGCAGACTACCCTGTGAGGCGGGAACTTAGTGGGGTGATAAGAAACAGGTGCCACACAGGCGGGCTCGATGAGAGGGGCAATCCAGCCCAGGCTTTTGTACTTTCCCACAGGCCTCGCAATCACCGCGTCTGATGACTTGACAGTGCCACGGCTCCCAACATCTCCCCCTATTTTATTTTAAATGATGGCTACGCGCATCGCAGCCCGTCCTGGATAGAGTGCAGAGGCCTATGCCCCGAACTGAGGCCCACCGTAGGCCCTTAGCGTAGACCCTGGTCGGCCGTCCCAGGGTCCACCAAGGCCCTGAGGCCCTCGTCCTTTTTTCTAGGGCCAGGAATGAACCGGACGGAACCTGGTTGCACATAGGCATGCACTCATTTCTCTCCACGAATCCCCTCGGAGAGAAATTTATCTAACAATCCAGCGGCTTTCGAGCGGAACGGGGTAGGGCCTGGCTTAGGTTGAGTCGTGCTGGGGAGGCACGCTCTTACCCGTCATTGACTCACCCACCCTGCTACATGTTGTTGTCTAGGGAGGAGAATGTGGGAAGCCTGTCACTTTTAAACGCGGTCGTAGGCCATGCGAGCGAGCCATGCGTATACAAGGGTAGCACATAGGGGAGCAAGCCGTTCCAGGCCCCCAAAAAGGGATTGTCCTGCAGTTCTTTTAGGGCTCATCTTGTTGTTGGGTCTGCGGTTGGCCTCTGGTGGAACAGGCCTGATCTTCAGTCGAGGGACTTGTCGCGTCAACCTCTCTGGGACCCACATTGGCTCTCGTCCCGATTCCTGCGGAAAGACACAAACCGCGCCTCGGCTTCCTCTTTTGTATCTCTGCCCTCCTTGACGGACCCTTCTCGGGAGCTTCCTCACTGCGCCTGTTCAAACACCTCGCGTACTTCTACAAGTTCTTGAGAGCTCCCCCCGTAACTACCCTCACTCTTTAGGCACGTGTGTATCATTTCCCACAATGGACGAGCAGAGACTGAAGCTCTACCCTCCCGCTCTGCTAGGGAAAGGTCTCTGCCCAACTTTTCCCAGGAGGGCAGGTTTACATGCCCTGTAGGCAGAAACCAGGGAGCAAAGCTGTCAATCTCTGCAAGGAAATTTTCTAAAGTCTTACGCCCCACCTTGAGGTCCTTGGACTTTAGGAGTCTCCGAAGGACCAACACCAAGGCTGTGTATCTTTACTTGGCATGTTTCCCATTTTTAATATATCTTCTGTTATTTTTACTTCTATGTTTATGTTTTACACTCTTTTATTACCTTAAGTTCTGGTGTTATGTTTCATACTCACCGCGTGAGGCCCAAGAAACCCGCCACTTACGCGTGAGGTTGAGAGGAGTCTACAAACCCTGTAGGTGCGCGCCACCCAGGGCCCAGGCTTATCCTCTACTCACCTGTCCTGCAGCTGCAGCACTGTGTAGGAGAATGCAGTCCACCGCCGCGTCTCGGGGTTGATCAATCCCCGTGCGGGCCTCCAAATGTCGATGTCCGCTCCCGGCCGGCAGGAAAGACACACGACAAGGTCTGGCGGTGGTCAGGCTTTTCTTTATTCTCTCCTTATACAGTCTGCCCCGAAGCCTCTACCGGTCCGCTCTCCGCGGCTCCTTCCGTGCTTCAGTCTGCCCCGAAGCCTCTACCGGTCCGCTCCCCGCGGCTCCTTTTGTGCTTCAGTCTCTCTCTCTCTTGGGGGTGGAGGCACTGGCTATATATAGGATTAATAGCTAGGCAGACTACCCTGTGAGGCGGGAACTTAGTGGGGTGATAAGAAACAGGTGCCACACAGGCGGGCTCGATGAGAGGGGCAATCCAGCCCAGGCTTTTGTACTTTCCCACAGGCCTCGCAATCACCGCGTCTGATGACTTGACAGTGCCACGGCTCCCAACAGTTGCTTATACTGTCGAACTTGGTAGTATCAAGCAAGACAGAATAGAGGAAAATCAGTCCAAACAAGATGGTGCGAGCAATACAGGGTTTCAAATCAAGTTCATAGGAAATTAAAGTGGGTTACTATAATATATCCTGCTATTTTTTATTTTTCCCGTAATTACAAAGATAAAAATAAAAAAGTAATAAAAAAGAGATTGAGATAAAAGAGGATATAACAAAACAGCACAGGTCAAAACATAACCATTTAGGCAAAATAGTGTTTCACCACCAGATATCGTGACCTAAAAGTAGTTACCATAGTGTCTCTTTCGTTGAAATCTTTATTAACTTCATATACTGTAGCATCAAACATATCAAGACAATGTAAAACCATTCAAGAGAATGACAGTATTACAGGGTATTTAGAACCAACCTACTGAAATGAACAATTGTTTTTGTATAGCATTTTTGTCTCTATAAGTTTTTGTTTATATTATCACATATAATAAAATCCAGTAAGATACAACATGTTAAAACCCATGGAGACAGAAGAACAAAAGCTTGATTGGACTTCAAAACAAGAGGATATTAAATCAGCACTACCTATTATGATGTCTTGTTTTCTGCAAAGTAGCTGTTCCTACCATCCAACCTTCTCTGCCTCATTTCTATTGAGCTCTTTTTCTGTCATTAGTTGTCAGTTTGTCTTCCTCATTTCGCTTTCTGCTCCATTCATTGTGGCCTCTCTGTCACTGTTTCTGGAATCTTGGTATTTTTCTTTTTTTAGAATATCCTGCAGTATTTTCTGTAGAGTTTAATTGGTGGTTGCAAATTCCCCTAGTTCCTCTTTATCCTGGAAGCACCTTGTTTTTCCATCAATTTCTAGGGATAGTTGTGCAGGATATATCAATCTTGGCTGAAGGTTATTATCTTTTAAAGCTTGAATTATTCCCCCCCCCCCACCATGCTCTTTATGCTTTGCTGGTTTGTGCTGAGAAGTCTGCTGTAATTCTGATGGGTGTTGCCTTGTAAGTGATCTGTTTCTTGTCTCTTATGGCTTTTAATATTCTGTTATTATGTTGTATTTCTGGAATTTTCATTATATATGCCTGGGTGTTGTTCTGTTTGGGTTGTAGGTGGCTGGGGTCCTGTATGCCTCATACATCAGAGTATCTTTACCTTTTGCTAAATTAGGGAAATTCTCCTGGATTATTTCTGTGAATAGCCTTTGTAGTTCATTTGTTTGTGTACCTACTTCTCCTTTTACGTTCTTAATTCTTAAGTTATACATCCTCTTATCATCTTCTAGCCTCTATATTATTGCTGTTTTTTTTCTTGTTATTTTTAAGAAGTTTTTCATTTCATGCTCCCACATTACAAATCTGTCCTCGAGTTCTGATAATCTATCCTTAGTTTCTTTCAAGCTGTTATGCCAGCTTTCAATAGAGTTTTTAGTTTCCTGGTAATCTCTTTGAACCTGCTTCATGTATTCTATGTTTTCTCTATTTTCTCCATCACACAATTATCCCCTTTTTTTCTGTTCTTCCATTCCACCATCTGTTTTTTCTTGGGTGGTGCTTAGCATTTCTTTAACTATTGTACTTATATCTTGCTTTATTTCATTGAATACTTCACTTTTGAATTCGTCTATGAGGCTCCGGAGATACCGCTTTATGTCTATTGGTGCTGTGTTTGATATTACTTGTTTTCTGTCTTCATTCTCCTTTGCATTAACCTTTCCTGGATCAGTGTTCTCAGGATTCGGGGCTGAGGACCCTTTCTTGTTGCTCCCTCTTCCCATATTTTTTGTTATATGAGGCACAGCTTCTTACTTTGTTGGTTATAGTTTGTTTGTATTGTGCTGGCTAGGTGTTCCCACCCACTGCAGTGTACTAGGGAGACACAGACCTGGGCAGCCTCTGCTGGGACTGCCCCTCCAGGTTAGTCAACCTACTGAAGGTTTCACTGCTACGGTGCATCTCCAGGCACTGGGACCTGGTTTGGGCTAGGCTACTGGGTCTTAGTCTGCATTGTCACCCTGGCCAGGGCTCCCTACGAATCCCGCTCGGGAAGGCAATATGTGACTAAAGTCACTGTAGTATCCTGTTCCAGCTAGTCTGCCCGGTCCCAGAATGTCCTCTGTTGGAGCCTCCTAATGTATGTAAGGGTCCCCGTTTCTCTCACTCACCGCAGGTTGATGCAGGGGTCCCTGCCAGTCCCACTCTCAACTCCGTTCGCCAATTCCCACGCTCAGAGGTTTCACCTCTCTGTCCCTGCTGTGCCGATTCAGACACTGCAGTGGTGTCAGGAAATTCAAATCATGGTTTGCAGAGGTGCTGGTTCCACCTTCAGCGCTGATATTTTATCTGTTCCTGTTATAGCACCAGGATTGCATTTCCAGTTGGTTTCTCTCAGCTTACTTCATTCCTGGGTTGGCAGGATATGTCTCCCCTTTCTTAGGACTCCTCACACCGCACCATTCCTGGATTGTAATCTGGCTTTCTCAGAGAGCCTCCCTAGGTGCTGCTGTCTGTCCGCCATGTTCTCTCGGAAGTGATCTACTTCCATTTTGAAGGGCAGTTTTTCAGTCTACATCAGCCTAGGTTGGAAATCATTTTCCTTTAGGATCTGAAATACTTCACTTCATGCTCTCGTTGACTTCATTGTTTGTGCTGAGAAGTGTGCTGTGATTGTGATAGGTTTTCCTTTATAAGTGATCTGTCTTTTCTCTCTGACAGCTTTTAATATTCTATTCTCATGTTTTATTCCTGGGAGGGTGATTATTATATGTCTGGGTGTAGTTTTATTTAGGCTGTGACTATTTGGAGTTCTATATGCTTCATTGATCCTGGTGTTGGTTTGTAATCTCATGTTTGGGAAATTTTCAGCTATTACTTCTCTAAATATCCTCTTGATATCCTTTAAGTTGTCCCCTTCTTTTTCATTTATTCCTATCAATCTTACATAGTTTCTCTTTGTGTCATCTTGCAGTTGTTGAATTGTTATTATCTGATTCCTTGTTATTTTTAAAAGATCTTTCCTTTCCTTTTCCCTAGCTGCAATCTTGTCTTCGAGGAGTGAAATTCTATCTTCACTTTCATTGTGGCGTTTTTTACAACTTTCCAGGGAATTTTTGGTTTCCTGTATATCTCTTTGTATCTACTTTATGTATTCTGTTTGTTTCTTATATTGTTCATCTAGGGATTCTATCTTTTTGTATAGTTCTTCCAATTATTTACCTGTGTCTTTTTTTAGATATGTTCAGCATCTCCTTCATTTCATTTATCATTTCTTCTTTTTCTTGGGAAATTATTTATAGTTTGAATTCCTTTAAAGCTTTCCAGAGTTGCTTCTTTCTTTCAGTTGCTATTATGTCCAATATTTCAGGTATATGGCATGTATTTTCTTCTGTGTACATAGCTCCTAAGGTTTCTTGTGATGGGCTGTAATTTGGTCTTTCGTTTTGTCATTTTCCTGTATTTCTGTATTTCAAGTATCATTCCACGGCTTTCCCATGGTCTGTTGGAAATCCTTTTCTATGCCCTCAGCTCCCGGGACTGTGGCCACCCAGTTCCCCAGATTGAGAGAGGGTCACTGGGGATGGGTCAGGCTTGCTCAAGTCCTGCTGAGCTGGTCCACTGCTACAGGAAGCCGCGAAGTTCCTTATTCATGGCTGAGCCAGGATCCCCAACTTGCTGGGCTCAGGGGATCGTGTGAGGATACTCACCCCAGGCCACCCAGCGTCTGGAACTGATGGCACTGGCAGGCCCAGAACTCTAGAGTCTGCCAAGCCTGGCAGGGAGTGGTGAGACCTGTGCAGGCCTGTTGAAGACCCACCATGCTGGTCCAGTGTAACTGGAAGCCTCGAAGTTCCCTATCCGGGGCTGAGCGAGGGTCCCAAGCTAGCTTGGCTTGGGGGATGGTGCAGGGAACACTCACCCCAGGCCACCCAGCCTCTGGAACCCATGGCGCCTGCTTCCTTAAAACTCCAGAGTCCGCCAAGCATGGCCAGGAGTAGGGAGGCCATTGTAGGCCCGCTGAGAACCCACCATGCTGGTCCAGTGCAACCATTGTGATAACTTGGACCCTGGAATAAAATCCAAGGGAGCAAGAAATTAAGAAATTTGGAGCAAAGGCTTTATTTTAGGCCAGGCCTGGTCACGCAGTCTCTGTTAGCCAGTATGGAAGAATATGAGCTTGACAGCTAAAGGGCAGGGTTTTTATCTTGTAAAACTGCAAACAACTGCTGGTCTCACAATGCAAGGAGGAGGGTGGGTTTGTGGCACACTACAGAACAGGAACACGGCAATTACATTTCTTTGGAAGAGCAAGGTTCAGGTAAGGGTTGGGCTAACAAACAAGTTTAGATTAGGCAAACATCCTTTGGGGGAAGGCACATCCTGCAAACAAGCAAGTTACCCTGCAAACAAGCAAGTTTCCCTGCAAATAAGACATCCTGTAATTTCCTTGAAGTTAAATGTTTCTTAAGGAACAGCACATTTTATTACAGATAGGTGGAAGGTGTGGGGGGATTACAAGAAACTGAAACTTAAGGCTTTTACGTGAAATGGAGACTTAACCTAAAAAGAATGGGGAGGGGAGGGGGTTGTGCGGTGTATACAGAAGAAGATGGAGCCTCATTGGTTAGAGCTAGGCTACAACATTCCCCTCTGATGTTGTGACTGAGGCCAAATCTTTGGCCAATTACTTAGGGATTTTTGGGGAATGAGCTCACAGGTGTGCTGGCATAACATCATGAGCTTTATGCCTTGCATTTGTTGTCTGACATATGCAGTTATTCTGTTGAATATATAAGGACCTACTGTGACCAAGAGCAGTACTCCTAACAATGGTCCAAGCAAGGGCAGGAGATAGGGCAGGATTCCATTGCAGACACTCCATAAAGGGTTTTCAAATAGCTCACTCCTCCTTTTAACTAGGTCTTCCTGTAGTCTCTTGATTTTATCTCAGATAATGCCGGACTTATTTACATAAAAGCAGCATCATTCCTG